CATTTTTCACTGAGATTTATTTCCATCTCCTCCCACCCATCAGCCCAAAATTACTTTCCCAATTGTACAGTTCCTCATGATGCCTTGAGCTGGTCTAGATGCTGTTGGGAATTGACTTTGTTTAAAATGTCCTTCAGTACATTTTCCAATATGGGAAAAAAGCTAAATAGTAAGAAAAAGCTATTTTTTTCCACACCACTTCTCCCCACAACCAGAACAGCAAAGAGAGTATATAATCACTCTGGTGACAATCCATGTAGAGTTGCTGCCTGGCACTGGGACATGTTCCTGCATAACAGCTCAGTGTGGATCCAAGGCTCGTCCTGTCCTGAAGTATCTGCCAAAGGTTTCAAGCATGTTTTCACACATGGTAAGGTGAGACCTAACTCCCAAACATCTAACAGAAAAGTTAATATTTTTCTCTCCACTGGGGAAAGCCTGCAAGGACTCAGCTCCTTGTGCCTGTGTTGGGTGTCCAGGTAACCCATGACTCCATCAAAAAGCAGTGGATGCCTGCTCAAGACTGCTGCAAATTTAGCAGAAAGAGGGAATGGGGAATGCTCATGTCCAGCCTTTTAGGGATGGGCAGCATGGGCTGCAGGTACAGTGCAGCTCATGGACAGCCCTTGAGGGTTGGCTAAGCAGCTGGTAGAAATGCTCAGCCAGTCTGAAAGAGGGATTGAAGCCTGGGAGAAGCTACATGGGAGAACGGGTGCCACAGCACAAGAGGGGATGATTAAAGGGATAGGAAACAATCAGGATTCGGACTCTGGGTTACACTTACTATAGACTGCCCATAAAAGAGGGATTGATGTGACAAACCCACCCTTCTGCTATGCCACCAAGACCTCACCAGAATACCTCATCATCCACTGATGCTTCTGCATCTGGGGACACTCAGAGCAGTGGGGGAAGATGATCCTTTTCAAGTTTTCTAGTCCCAGCTCCCCCAAAGCAGGGGAGTTGGGACTACAAGATCTTTAAGGTCCATTCCAACCTCTTAACATACTATGATCCCATGATTCTAAGGTTAGCCACCGCATAGTTTCCTCACTGAACAGCTGACCAGGGAAATGGTGAAACCAAAATCCCTGAAAGTTTTCAAAAAACATAATATCATAGAAGGTTAAGGGGTTGCAATGGACCTTAAAGCTCATCTAGTCCCAACCCTCTGCCCTGGTCAGGGACACCTCCCACCAGACCAGGGTGCTCAATGTTTCATCCAACCTGGCTTTGAACACTGCCAGTCTTGGGGCATCCACAGCCTCCCTGGGCAACCTGTGCCAGTGTCTCACCACCCCCACAGGAAAAAACTTCTTCCTCATATCTAATCTAAATTTTCCTTCTGTCAATTTACCCCCATTACTTCCTGTCCTATCACTACAGTTCTGAACAAAGAGTCCCTCTCCAGCTTCCCTGGAGCCACTTCAGGTACTGGAAGGCACTCTGAGGACTCCACACAACCTTCTCTTCTCCAGACTGAACAGCCCCAGCTTTCTCAGCATGTCTTCACAGGGAAGGTGCTCCAGTCCTTTTATCAGCTTTGTGGCCTCCTCTGAACTTGCCATGTAGAGATGGCACACAGGGGCATGTTTCTGTGGCAAACATGGCAGTGCTGGGTGAAGGGTTGGACTCAGTGGTCTCAGAGGACTTTCCCAACTTTAATGATTCCATGGTCACAGAGCTTCCACAAATTTCCAGACAAGTCAGAGACACTTGTTCTCGAGAAGAAGCAGACCCTGTGCATTTTGGAGTCACTCTCCAAGCACCCTGGTCCCATCCACACTCAGGGCTCAGTTAATGGTGTGTGTGTTTTTTTAGAATCAGCCAGAAGTGCAGGTTAATCATGAGGATGTATTTTCCTTTCTTCTATCATGGCTCATTTCCCACCTGTCCAAGGGCACTGTTGACTGTACACATGTGCCCATTCAAGCACCTGTTCCTAATGAGAGGAATGGACAAACAAGAATCCTACCACTACCCAGGTGAGAGGTGCCTAGGCAGTAAGAGGGGCAGATGGCTGAAGCACTAAGTGCCCAAGGCCTCTGGCATCATTTGCTCACTTTTGAGTGATCTCAGCTTGCAGCAATGTTTCCTGCATTCAGCTTCCAAATAGCCTTTCATCTCTGGGTGATTTATAAGCAGGGAGACAAGATGCTCAGGTGTGTTGGAAACCACTGAATCTCTGGCTGTGTGTGAGGGGGGACAAGGTTGGGTAACAGGGCAGCCACTGAGCTGTGCAAACTGCTCTGATGGGAGACAAGGGGCTCAGGTGCATGGTGTGGTTCTCAGGGACATCCTGTGCAAGGCCAGGAGTTGGACTCAATGATCCTTCAGGGACCTTCCAACTCTGAATATTCTGTGAGAGTTCATCTGTGCTTAGACCCCACACTCCTGTAAAAACCCTCTCTAGGAGACATCCAGCTGCTGCCTTGGTATTCATCCCAGTGAAAGGGGAGGGAGGAAAGGAAAGGAAAGAACAAAGAATAAGGCTTGGAGCAATAAGACAAGGGACAATTTTTTTTAAACTAAGGGAGAGAAGATTCAGACTAGATATAAGGAATACATTTGCTTACAATGAGGGTGCTGAGGCACTGGCACAGTTTGCCCAGAGCAGCTGTGGCTGCCCCATCCCTGGAAGTGTTCAAGGCCAGGTTGGATGGGGTTTGGATCAACCTGGTCTAGTGGAAGGTGTCCCTGTCCATGGCAGGGGGGTGAAACGAGATGGTCTGTAAGGTCCCTTCCAACCCAAACCATTCTAGGATTCTGTGATAACATGGCCACAGTCCTGGGCTACTGGCTCTGGGTGGCCCTGCTTGAGCAGGGGGTTGGACCTGGTGACCTCCAGAGTTCCCTTCCAACCTCACCTGGAGTAGGAATCAAGTCACTCAAGATTTGGTGGATCATAGAATCATAGAATGTTAAGGGGTTGAAATAGACCTGGAAGATCATCTACTCCCAACCCCACCTGCCATGGATGTGGTTAATGTTTCTGCAAGAGCTGTCCCCTGCAGTAGCCCTGGGGAGAGCAGGTCACAATGTCTGCTTATATATGAATGATTTGGTAAGAACTCATGAAGAAACCAGAGAGCTCGTACAAGACCGAGGGTGGTAAGACACTGGCACAGGTTGCCCAGGGAGGCTGTGGCTGCCCCAACCCTGGCAGTGTTCACAGCCAGGTTGGATGAAGCCTTGAGCAACCTGCTCTGGTGGGAGGTGTCCCTGCCCAGGGCAGGGGGTTGGGACTAGATGATCTTTAGAGTCCATTCCAACTCCCTAACATTCTATGAGAGGGAAATCTGCAGCAGAGGAGATACTTGGGCAAAGTCTCTTACATCATAGGTCAGGTCCCTGGACTCTAAACCACCCTTCTCCCTCTGGAAATTCTTTTATACAGAAACTCCATTGTCCCTTCTGGATTGTTCCCACTGTCTATTCACTCCTTCCCTGTCCTCCTTCCAGAGGTCAATCTCCATTCCCAAACTGCCAGGAAACTTAATGGTGCAACTCTGCACAGCCTCACTCTCCTGTTCTCCAGCCCCCAAGTGCCTAACAGAGCAGGGCCTGAGGTGCCAAGAGGTGGGAGTCTCCTCCCTCCTGCCTTGGATGGGTTGTCATTTCCACACCCTCCAGATGGCATTTGCTGCTCTGGTCTTTACAGGAGAGTTGAATATTTAATAATTGTCAAAGGACTTCAGGGTCCAGCCAAGCTGGTCTGTGTGTAAGCATCTTTGCTCAACCCAAAGTTTTCTTGGTGAGACAAGTTTTTCATCTTAGAGGAATCGGAGGGATGCCAAGTTAATGTGTATGGCCTGTGGTCTGAAGGCAATGAGCTGTTAGTAGCTGAGGGTTGTGCTCTCCAAATTGAGCCATTGGTTTGTTGGCTTCCTCGAGCTTCCCCTTGGCATAGTCAGGATATCTTGGCTGCTGACAACAGTAATGACCCATTCTCCAAGGTGTTATGAAGCCTTCTGGATCCCAGATGTGAGGTGATCTTGGCCTTCCTAACAAATCATAACTGTTTAAGTTGGAAAGGCCCTCTAAGATCATTGAGTCCAACCATTCCCCCAGCACTGCCAAGGCCACCACCAACCCATGTCCCCAAGTGCCACATCCACACAGCTGTTAAATCCCTCTGGGGATGCTGTCTCCACCACTCACCAGAGCAGCCTGTGCCAGGGCTGGACAACTCTTTTGCGGAGGAACTTAACAAACTTAAATGAACTTAACAAACTTAAATCAACTTAAATTTGTGTTTTTAAGGATAAGTTGTATTTTATCCTTCTCCTTCATGGTGAAATATCTTGATAGCTCCAGTTTTTATGGCTTGAAGTGATTATCCTGTAACAGAAACCTCCTCTGTCTACTCAAATGTGGGTCCAAGACGTGGGTGAAACCCTATCCCAGTTCCACCAGCTCCTGGAGAGACGTGGTGAGACCTTCTCCATGCATGTCAGCTATGTTAGGGAAATGCACATGCTCTAAGAGCTCTAAGAGCCCATGCACTGGTGAGGATCTTGAGCAAATTAATCCAAATTAATTTTAAACAGGATTAGTTAAATGGCATTAACATCCCAAGTAGATGGTCTTAGATGGAATTAAAGTGCCCTTAGTTTAGTTTTGGATTTAATTCATTTTAGAGTGGAACTAAGCTAATTGGGGTTAGGTCTTCTGAGGGACTTTATCAGCACAGGAGTTCAGCACTGTTTTATCCAGGCTGATTTAATTCACCCTTTGAGATATGGCTGGGGTTTCCTAGTTACTCCTGACAGATGGGCTGTCCTGCCCCAAACCATGGGCAGACAGAGGACAGGCAATTCGCTGTTTAAGGCTAATGCTTGAGGAAAGCATAGTGAGGCCCTGGCACAGGTTGCCCGGAGAAGCTGTGGCTGCCACATC